CAGGTCGTCGCCGCCTCGTCGCTCGTCGCCGCCTCTTCCAGCAGGTCGTCTCTCGGTTTCTTGATCTTGCATAAATCTAGGGTTTGGTTTAGGGAATTTATCATTTTTCTTTAGAAATTGATGGTGTTTATTGCTTATTTCATGTTTGTAACAATGTTAATGATGATTGGATTATCGATATTTTGCAATTTCTTGAGAATTTGATACTGATATGAAGAAACATCATCTTTGGTAATTGTATGTTGGTTTATTCAGTACTAAATCATAACTAGGGTTAAAATGGTAATTTGCTATCATTCAGAGAACAATTACCAAACAACCTTGTTTCATTCAGCACTTAATCATTCTGATCCTCTTAGCCATTCTAACCTCTTAACTATTCTGAACTAAATCATTCAGCAACTGCCAAACAGCCCTTAAGTGTTTGATCTTGGAATACTAGTTTTGATATATTTAAGTATTCGAAATTTTGGGATGTTACATATTTCTCTTGCGATAATTATTTTTGACGAGTTATTTAGAGCATAAGGGACCGTTTACCAAATACTTACCTGGTAAGTGCTTATCAATAAAATTTAACACTATTATTTACTTATTGGGTAAGATTTTAGTCCACTAAAACAACATTACATGCAACAATTTACCCGGTAAGTACTGCTTACCGTGGTAAGGGTCGTCGCCCTCACTTACCGGGTAAGATTCTTGGTCCTTATCTCGCTCTTTCCAGCTAAGATTCTTGGTTCTTATCATATTCATCCGGTGAAGTAATGTGACTTGGTAAGCGCTTACCCGAGTAAGCATTTGATAAACAGCCCCTAAGTTTATCTACGTCAATTTTTTTCATTTTGAAGGAAATCATTTAAAAATTCTTTTATATTCTAAGAATATTATACTTGTTTTTGTTACTATAAAAAACAAAAGGGTAAGAAAAACACAAAAACGTATTTGAGGGGCCACAAGCAACATAAACCATATATGCTCCAAAATCCATCAATTGGGTGGCATGAAATGGACCCTCAATGTTTCAAATTTCCAAAAGGTGCCAAAATGGTATGTGTTCCCACCCTTTGACCTTCAAAAATCTTGGACATTATCCCCTAAGCCAAACAAATGGTCCTTACCATACTAATTGTCTTTGTTTTCATATCGGTTATCGACCTTTTGTACCTACAACTGGAGATGTTTACGATGCAGTCGTTATCGTAAATTTGTTGATTTGTGGGCTTAGACATGATTCAGTAATCGTTCGATCATTGACTAATGGTATGAAAACGTTAAAAGTTTGAGAACTTCTCATTATGCATTGTCTCATAATGTGAAACGGTAAATGTGTTTCAGTTTTAATAATTTTTTTTGTAATAAATCACGATATTTTGACATAAAATTTAATAAATATTAATTAGAGTGATAATAGATTTAAATTTATTATTAAAATTGAAAACCATCTCTATTTTTTTTCTATTTATTTTTAGAGTGAATGACATATTTGGTTCCTCGTGAATACATGCTTTTTGGTTTTCGTCCCTCAAAGTCATAAAGTACACAGGTGGTTCAAAAATCGTGTTTCAAAACCTAAATTAAGTCCCTCTCCTTAACACCGTTAGAGACAACTGTATTAAGTCAATCATGTGCCCTTAATGTGATGGGCAATTTGGTCATTTTACCTATTTTCTTCAACCTCACATCCATCCTAGAGAACATTCATACTTGAGTCAAGAACATTACCCATCTTCTTCTCACTTTGAATATTCACCAACACCACCACCACGATTCATACCTAAATACCAAATTAGATTCAAACTCATAACCTAAATCATATTCAAACCCAGAATCCTTGCAGATTTAAGCGTAACAAATATAACAAATAGATCTGAGATGAAGATGAACAAAGAATAAAGAACAAAATCCATTTGAATATGTACATGAACTAGAACATAACCAAGAACCTAGAACCAATTCTTGGTTCATATGAATAAGAATCAACCTAGAACCAATTCTTGGTTCATATGAATAAGAATCATACGGAGAATCCAAACTAAATCTAATTGAAATAAATGCAATAATCAAAACCCTAATCTAAATAGAAATAAAATCACATCTAACTTCTGATTTGGTTCGAAGAACACCATCACTAGGTTCTAACTTTTGTTAGGTTTCAACAAGATACAACTTTTGGTCTGGTTCGAAGAACACCATCACCACATCGAGAAAACCATCCAACTTTTAGTCTGGTTCTAAAAAACCAAATCGAATACCTACTTCAGATTTGCTTGGATGGTTGCTTCAAAAACCAAAAAGCGCTAGATGGTTGCTTTGAATGAGAGAAGAAACAAAATAGGTCGGCGAAAGGGAGGGTTGATTGGAGGGGAGGAGCTAGGAAAGGAGAAGGATCATTCATCTTCGACCATCATCTTCCACCCCATGGTTTGCACCATTGGCCAAAGATCTCCATAGTCCCTTTCGACTTTCAACTTGTCTCTGCGGGAGAAACAATGCCATCAGGGGTGGGAGGAGGGTTTGAAGCTTTTCAGGCTTGGGGGCTTCAAGATCTATAGGTTTGGATGAAACCTACACAATCAGTATGAATCGACTTCCACGCTTTGATATGCAGAAAACAAACCATCACCATTTGTTTTCTTGTTTAGATCTCCATAGCATCTTCAACTTCCACGTACACCTGAATTTGACAGGGTTTTGTTTTTTCATCGAGGGTTATGGAGGGGATTCAACAAGGAGGGAAGGGCGCGGTTCTTGAGTTTCAAGGATGGTTAGAGTTACAATAAAAAAAACATAAAAATAGTAATTTTACTATATATATATTTTTTTAAAAGAAAATTAAAATAGGATTCGACCTGGTTTAACAACAGCTACCAATTAATTCTAACTATAAAAGCGATAGAATTTAATAACAATAGAAGGGTTTATTATATGTCTCGGAATGAAGAAAATTTGAAATTAAAAATACGGTGAATCCGTTCCCGGGCCTTGTACACACCGCCCGTCACACTATGGGAGCTGATAGGATTTGATTTGATGGATAATGAGCCAGCCAAAATGGTATTTATTTTTGTTTTCATATGAATTCTGAATTTATTCATAAGTAATTCGTGAGATCATGCACATCAAGTATAATAAGCAAAATCTTACGAAAAGAAAAGCGGGAGATACGAAATAACCATAGCGGTAGGTGTAAAAAGACCAAAAAACCCATCACATGAGAGATACATGAAAAGGTTAACAAAGATATTTTAACGTTATTAGTGGGAGAGACTTATCTGGCCTCCAAAGCACGATTTTTGGATCATCATTGTACTTTATAATTTCGAGGGGCAAAAACCAAGAATAGATATTCATGAGGGACTAAATATGTTGGAGATATATTTTTTAAAATTAACACAAATTAAGAAAATCTAAATTAAAAATTACATGCGATGCAAATTAACCTTCATTCTAAACATAATTCATTTAGTAATATCAATAATTATTTATAAATATTTCAAATTTAACATCATCAAAATCTAGCTAATTAACCATACTGTAAATAATTAATCCTTTGCTGGTGTTCCCATGGGAGTACTGAGCTCCCATTTGCAATAGTCACCGGAAAATTCATCCTTGCCACCGCCACCGGATGGTTGACGTCGGCTTTTTCCATCGACTGGATCTGGTTCTTCAAGAACTTCATGTAATTAATCGCTTCATCGAGCATGGAGGCCGTATCCATCTGGGTTCCACCAGGCACAAGTCTTTGCAGTATCCTAATTCTCTCACTAATCCTTTCTCTCCGATGCCTCGCCGCCACACTCTGTGGGTCTTTCGATATCTTCACGTTCCGCCGCTTGGGCGGTTTCACCGATTCAGGGTCAATGTCAACCGGTTGGAGCGCCGATATCTTGAATAACATCTCCCTCATCTCCGCCATATTCCGCTTCTGCACCACCTTGGAATGACTTTCGCCAACTTTCCTCTTCCTCCAACTTGACAACGATTCCTTTTCAACGACTGGGGATCGAGCCGTAAATGAAACGTTGGCTGCCGATGGAGTGATTGAACTGAAATGCGAGTCTTCCATGAAAAACGACGTGTTAACAGCTGCAGGGTTGGAAGAGGAGCTGCTACTTCCGTCGTCGATGAGCTTGTTTTGAGGGTAGAATTCCGGTAGTCTTGTTTCGAACTGTGCCATAATCATTTCCATTTGGTCAACTGGACTGCACCTCAGGAGTTCAACATCCATTGTCCTTAATAACTTGGTTTCACAGTAAACCCTAAAAAATGGAAAATTGGATGCTTTCTCAAAAGAGTGAAAGATATATACCAAGATGGGGTTATTACATTAGAATGTTGCAGGTAGGCAGAAGGGTATGCAAGAAGGAAATGGAGTAATGTCAGATGCTACAGACTAATAATGCTATATATAGAAATACTTTTTCTATATATATATATATATATATATATATCAAGTAAAGAGTGTGCATAAAATTATAAGCAATAACAAAATAGATAAAATGTTAAACAAAACCCTAATAATTTTTTATTTTCCTATTTGAATAAAGAGATATTTACCAAAATATACATCATATATTAACGAAATAACTAACTTTTATCAAAACTGCAAAAATACCAACACGGATCACCCCGGGGACGAGGGTTGACCATGGGGGCGATTCCCCTTTCTTTGACCAAAAAAGTACCAAAAAAATATATTAAAAAATCAATTTGGTGGGTCTCACATGCATCATTTTTAGGAAACCAAACACTATTTGTCTCGATTTTGGTGAATCTACCCTGGGGGACGATCCACGTCACCCAATCGCCCGTACCTTCCGTTAAGCTCCCCCGTACATGTATTACGTTTGCCTTCCCCAATAACGCATTCTGGTGTCGTTAAACGTGTCACGAAAAAAAGTTAAATTTGCGTGCTCCTTTCATTTTATTTTATAAAACGAATTCCTTACAAATATTATATCGGTTAAGCGACGACGACAGTGTGCTAATTTCCTTACAAAATACATCGTCATATCATAGATACTAAAAGATGAAATAGCGGTCAAACTACGTAAATCAAATATAATATTTGATTTTTGTCCCCTAAATCAGATAAAAATAATTTTTTCGTGTCCACAATTATCATGATTTTATTTTACAAACTAAAACCATAACATTTGGTCCTAAAAAGGTAAAAAAACAGTTTAAATATCGTCTGTTTTTTATTAAAACACCCCTTAACCGATAGTAAAAAAAAAATTGGACCGCCCCCGGGGGAAGATTGGGTAACGTGGATCGCCCCCTGGGGGTAGATTCACCAAAATCGAGGCAAATAGTGTTTGGTTTCCTAAATGTGATGCATGTGGGACCCACCAACTTGATTTTTTAATATTTTTTTGTACTTTTTTTGTCAAAGAAGGGGGGCGATCCCCCTGGTTAACCCTCATCCTCCGGGGGCAATCCGTGTGGGTATTTTCTCAATTTTGGTAAAAATTGATTATTTTATTAATATATCAGGTATATTTTAGTAATTTTGGTAAATAATTTACCTATTTAAAAAAAATGTTAAAAAATTAATTATCAAAATGAGAACATTCAATAATTTATTATTGAGAGGCAAGACTTATTTAGGATTAGGTTGAAACAATCATTTTAACCCAAAAACTATATATATATGATCAGCTAGAAATGCTTTTAAGAAATAAAAACCTAAATGTGTTCTATCGATTTCAAACCTCACGTCATTAATTCAAATCACTCACACCCAACGTCATTGCTCCAACTTGCACCCCTCATCGCGTCATTGTCGTCCGTTCTGTATCGTCCAACAACGTTATTAGCCCTACCATCAATCTCCCTTCTTGGTCAACTTTTTTGTTTTTCGATTTTCCCAATTTTTGATTTGTCATATATATGTATTAATTCTATTAACTTGTGGTAAATTAAAGAGGAATAAGTGAGGCAAAAAAACAGATCAAAAAAGATGGAGATAGATCGATGACAGAGGCAAACGATGTCGAAGGGGTGGCGAGGGGGAGCGACATTGGATGCGAAAGATTTAGGAACAGTAAAACTGATTTAAAATTTTATTTTAAAATCTTCTGAGTCGATTACATATAGCGTCTTTTTTAGTTAAATGATGTAAATAACTACTTTTTAAAACTCAATGATTTTAAAGATTAATCATCAATCAAATCAAAAAGTCAATTTTTTTTATTGACCTGGATATCTAACCCGTTATGCGAGCCTACTAATCTTAGGACGACCACCTGCTTTGCAGGTAGTCCTGAGTCACCGCATTTGAACCTCCGTGGTTACAAGAAGATTTTTTTTCTTCCTTGGATTTGAACCGAGACTCTTGTACTTCAAAAAAAAAGTTCAAAAACTTAATTCTTTAAAAATAAATAACTTTCTTTGAGTTTTTCTCATTGTTTCCAAATATCATTTAACAAAGCTTTTTACCAGCTACAATGATATCATCAATGGTTTTTAAACAAATAGAAATGTAAAAGAAGAGATATACAGAAAACCCTACTCACATGAGCAACAGTCAGAAAACCATCATCAATGGGAAGATTTAATAGAAGGGTCCAACCGGTGGCGAAAATCCGTTGCCGGAATATCTCATTGATGGTTGTGACAGGTGACATAATCCACTTGGTACAACATGGGCCACCAAAATGATGATAAATTTCATACCTTGATCAAAGGTCATAATCAACCATGGCCGGCCGGGAACGCCGTTTAAGGCGGATCAGGTTTTAATTTCATGTTGCTCACAACCACCGACTGACCTGCAGGCTGCAACAGCATTTGGCAGCCTACTGCTTCTGCTTCATGTGATGGCGCTGCAGTTAACTAACCCTTTTTTACTGGTGACCACCACGAAATTACCGTCTACTTATTAATGCTGGATTCGAATTGAATGTGGGTTTTCAGTTTTCACATACTCACATCTAGAGGTCCTCAAAAACCCGATGAACCCGATCAATTCAACCCGAATTTAAAAAAAAAAAACCCAACCCGAGGTAATCCGATGCATGATCGATAAAAATATTAGCCAACCCGACCTTATTGGGTTGGAATCGGGTCAGGCCCAAAAAAACCCGACCAACCCGATGAACCCGACATTAACTTTAGCTTTGAATTGTAGATGACAATTATGACATGACCAACCTCAACATCAAAAAAGCGAAAGCATCGGGGTTGGAAACGTCTAAAACTATTGTTGTTGATTGATGTATTATCATTTGGTTTAAACATTTTTATTGTAATACCTAAATATTTGATGAACTTGCATATTATCTTGAATGGTCGGTCGTATTTCAAATGAAAGTTTTCTTTATTTTTATGTGATTTTACATTGTTTAAACACAACCCGATCAATCCGAACGGGTTGGGTTGGGTTGAAAATTTTCAAACCGCCAACATTGGGTTGGGTTGTTAAAACGGCTCCAAACCGATCAACCCGGGCCGTGAGCACCCCTACTCGCATCCATCCGTGAGGCTACGACTACTAACCGATATTACATCATTTTTAATACATGTCACTACAATAAAATCGAGTTTATAGGTTACTCCCAAATTGTAAGTGTCATAATAAACCTCTTTATAGGACTTATAAGTTTATAGGAACAAAAAAATAAAAATAAAGTGTCCTATCTAATGATGTTGTATTAAGTTTATATGACGTTTTTTGATGTCGTAATAAGTATTTTAGGACATTTTTAATATAAAACGTCTCATTATCAACTTTATAGGACACTATTTGAAAAAATGTCCTAGAAAAACAAGTGTCCTATAAAAAATTGAGTTTATAGGACAATTTCTCAAAAATATCCTATATAAAGTTGCTAATGCGACACTTTGTATTAAAAATGTCCTTAAAAACTTGTTAAGACGTTCAAAAGCGTCGTGTAAACTTATTACAATATCTTTAGATAGGACGCTTTATATTTTTGTCTTATAAATTAAGTCCTATAAAGCGATCTATTGGAACACTTAGAGATTGAAGGTATCCTATAAACTCAATTTTCTTGTAGTGTGTCTAGTTTAATACAACATATATGAGCTTAACATAGAAGCTATACCAAAACCTTTTTTTGTCGGCTCTTAGAACATTCTAATGTGTCTTTTCTCCATACATGTGAACACATCTCACCTAGGGATCAATGAGATTCAAAGTTTTTACTATTAAAACGTATAACGTGTAAAACGTTTCATCTAAGGTTTTTAACTGTACTTCTCGACTATTGAACATTTTTGTCTAAAGAAGTAAATAAAAGTGTACTATGAGAGATTTATAGACATTAGCTTTGAATATAATGTATCATACAATATTGTAATGAATGCATCATGAATATTGTTAACTGTAATAATGCGTAACGAACTACTGATTGTAAGCTTTTTAGTGAACTTTGTTCAAATTAATCGAGATGCTAATGTCCTCTAACTGAATACCCCCTATTGATCTATGTTCTTCTTGTGACTCGTTCCTTAATTATGATGAACTAGTACTAGGCAACTCGTACCGCATATATGTACTGAGATGCTATAATTGCAGTTTTCTACCTTCTTGTGCCCTACGCATAGAGGTGACTCATCACATGTACGAGTATGTTATAATTGCCATTGCTATTTCTCGTCGTCATTGTTCTGAGTATGCACATCGACAAACATACCAATGGAACATTTTTCATTAAAAAATTGTGAAACCATGTTATGCATTTTTTTCAGAAAAACTATAAACATGTTTCTTGCAATGTTATACTGTGCCACTTGCAAGAAAACGTAACGATATTATTTCAAAAACATATATATGTAAAAGTACCATACAAAAGTACTACAAAACAAATGGCCTTTATCCACACAAATCATTTAGAGAAATTTTCATCTGTGAGTACCGACATTTCCCTAGAAAATACATATAGTCTAATAGAATTCGACGTTTTTCAAGAAAATACCAATGGGTTACCCAGAAAATACCTGGGTAATCTGGCACTGATTTGAGTTTCCCACCAATAATTTACCCACCAACTTTCTTTACGGTTTTATCACGAATCACCCCTTTAGCGATGGATTTTAAAGAGAAACATCTATAGGTATAAAAATCTTCCGTTTAGTAACGAAACATGTATCTTAGTCCGACCAACCTTGTGTAAATGATTTGTAATCTCAAGCAATAGCACATTACACATTTAGAACAATACATTGTCTAATAAATAAGAATTTTTTTTATTAGATTCTAACTGGTAAAATATTCAATAAATAAGAATTTTGATTAGATTCTACTTGGTACTACAAGCTCCGGTTAGATTCTACTAGGTCAAGTATTCAATACTTAAGAAATTTTTTTCCGCTTACTTATCTTTCATGT